AACTAGTATTATTTCAAGAATATTCATTACCCACTTCATCCTGAGGGTGACGTAAGAGGTGACAGAGGGAAAATATCAGGCGATGGGCAGCAGAGTCTTCCGAAGAACGACTAAAAATAAAAACTTGGTTAAATAAAAACACTTGCCAAGCGTATTACCTATGGCTGATATCCTCACTACGAGACAATCTATGGGGGAGGCCTGTGTTCAGCAGTGGACTTCAATAGGCTGTAACGGGAACGATAATAAGATAATACATTAAACAATTCGATATTAACAATAGGGTGCTTTTTATTTTATTTTTTTTAATATCGAATTACTTAAAGTACCAATGTATAGTACAAATGAATATAATTTATTTATGATCATAAACGTGGAGTTCACAGCACGCAGAAAATAAATGTTTCGCATCTTTCAAATAAGTAACTAGAACGGAAATATACTGCCTCGAAGAAGTCGGCAATCAAGACGGTTCATATAGATATGGCGCAATCAACGCGTGTCAGATTTCAATTATGGTCCAATGAATGTGCATCGATAGGCTACTGCATAAAGTTGCTCTGTTTATTGAAGAGATAAATACATTTCCCTACTCCTATTCACATCATGGGACCCTTAATTTTTGAGTATTGCAAATGCAATCAGTTTTGAAATAGTAAGATGTGTTAACGTTCTTACGTTTATTATAGTAATGTAATTTGGTCCCATAAAAGTTCGAGTAATATTATTAATATTATCAATAAACATTTATAATAGTTTGTATTTTATCTCATAATTACTAATAATAATAATTATTATTAATAGTAATGAATATAAAAAAATATTTCTAGTATTATTTGTATATACATAGTTTCTCTGTTTATTGAAAAAATAAATAAATTCCACCACTGCTATCCTCATTAATTAAATTAAGTTAAATTGTTTCATTAATTGTTTTAGCAATACCCTATAAGTAAAAAACTCGCCAAAAGCTAAATGACTATGCTATTATATAAGGTCGGGGGAAAAGTTTTTTCGTATTTTATATACAAATTCAAGATATTTTTTGCGACGTGTAAAAAGAAAAGTTACAGCCTATATACGTCCCACTGCTAGGCACAAGCCTCCCCTCATTTCTGAGGGGGTTTTGGGGCAAGGAAGTGTCCGCCGCGCTGCCCCAATGCGTGTTTGCGAACTTCACATGTCTTATAATAAATATTTTTTTCTCTTTTTTTTCTTTCTCTTATTACTCAGACATGCAGGTTTCCTCACTATGTTTTCCTTCACCGCCGATCACGTGGTAAATCAGCACTTAAAATTGCAATTAACAATTTCATTGGTGCTGGGGGGGTCAAACCCGGGTTACTCGCGTTCTGTTATATTTACAGCGAGCGTTAACCATCTGAGCTACCACGATTCAAAGTTTAATTACATTTAATTATATTACATATATACTCGTGTGTACCACTTTGTCCGATAACTTGTTACCATCTTGTTGGTAGTGACATAATCACGTTGCTGTAGAAATCTTGGGATTATTGATCAAAAAATGCGAAAGTAGTTTTAACAGTTCTCTCTTGATGTTAACCTAACACTAACCAAAAAAATTCTGAAGAGATCTCTTACTTAATTGATCAAACAGGTGAAAATTTAAAAGTGCGAGGTCAGGACTATATGGTAGATGCATAAACGCTTCCCAACCAAGCTCTCTAATTTGTGCTAAATTGCTAAAAATGTCTGGTCTTGTGGCGTTACCATGATGAAAGACTTCTCAATGATCAATTCCGGTCGTTTTTCCCCAATTTATTGCTTGAGTTTCATTATTTGTTGGCTACTGCCAACAAATAATGAATTTCTACTGAAAGCCGAGTCGATGCTTTTGCCCGGCGGTAAAAGCTAATAATAAACCATGCCCTTCCAATCCCACACAGCGTCACCTTATTGCGTGTTAATCCGCGTTTAGCGACAGTCTTTGGAGCTTGACTACCCTTCGACCACTCACGTTTTCGTACGTTTTTGTCGTAGGGGATCCACTTTTCATCACCAGTGATCAATCATTTCAAAAATGGTTCGCTTTCAAATTTCAATACGTTTCATAGAGAATCGCAAATGAGTACACGATTCATTAGGTTTCGTTCAGTGAGCTCGTGTGGTACCCAAATGTCGAGCTTTTTTGTATAGCCAGACTTTTTCAGTTTTTTGTAATAAAACTTCAGAATGAATGGAATTTCTTCGTTAGGTTATCTCATTTTGGCGGACAGAAAAACAACTGCAAAATGGCGTGAAAGTGTTTCTTACTTTTTATTTTTCTTTTTCTTGATGTATTTATATGTATTTATATTAAAACCAACAGTACAACCAAAGATATTTCTCTTCAATTTTATACAAAAAATATATGAAGAAACTTTTCCGTCTATCTATTATATTTACGTTTATATTACGTTACTTATAGCTCATACATTTAATCCCAAACTGCTTAGACCACAGGCGAGATTTCATACGGTCTGGAAAATGTACGAGTATATTTCATTTCCTCACCTTTAATATGCCCCTTACCCTGCTCTCTGATTAAGTCTGATTAGTATATCGTGAGCGCCGAAGCAATAGATACTGTAATTATGGAGATTTGAAATGTTGTAAGTCAAAATTTAAAAGTTGTATTGATGATGTACCTACCTATATTTGGATGTTAAGAAGTTTGAAAGATATTGATATTTTTAAAAACATCATTATTTTTATATATACGCGTATATATTAAATCGAATATTCATATTAATTTACAGTTTTTTTTATTTTATATAAAGATATACCCTTCCTAAAAATTGTCTGAAAAATGAAATATGGCCACGGCAGAAACTTCATCAATGTGTGGGACATACGTACTATAGCAGTACCGTAGTGTTTTTAGACCCTTGCTTTTTCACCAGGTTCTAACTCGTAATTTCTTGCTATATACTCGTACTTGCTTGGCACTTCAACTCACCATTTCTTGGAATTTAGTCACTTACTCAAGATCTACTTCAGATATCCTTATTTTAAATTATATCACCCAGAGGAACTCCAAGACCTCATAGTTCTTTCTTATTACAAAAATCCTTCAATACTGGCCTTATGTTAATCGTAGGTATTAGGGCACTATCGAAGGATTTTTAATTAATTTTATCAGTTTGTACATTTGTTAGATACAAACATATTTTTCATCATCATCATCATTACAGCCCTTCACAAGTCCACTGATGAACATAGGCCTCACCCAAGGAATACCACAAAGTACGGTTGTGCACCACATGCATCCATCGACTTCCTGCATGTCTAACCAGCCCGGGAATGCCCTACACTTCGCCTACAGGTACGAGACTGCCACTCAAGAACCTTTTTTCCCTATCGGTTATCGGTTCGACTATATGGCCGGCCCATTGCCACTTCAGCTTACTAAACCGTAGGGCTATGTCGATTATTCTGGTTCTACAGCGGACATCTTCATTGTTTATCACGCAGAGCAATCCCAAGCATAGCCCTCTCAATAGCTCGCTGAGCGAGCTTGAGCTTCTTCATATAGCCAGCAGTGGAGGATCATGTCTCAGATCCATAAGTCATCACTAGCAACACGCACTGGTTGTACAACCCCGTTTTCTAGTTTTGAGGTATATCTGGGATATACCCCAAACTGCTGCACCCTCCTTTCTGCCAAGGATGGTCGCGTGCATTAACAGCTTAAAAAGCTCCCGTCAGATCGGTAAGCCAAACCCAAAAGGTGGAGTTTAGTGGGTAAAAGTCTCCACATAACCACGCACCCGGCTGCGTGGTATGCTATGAGCATTCTACACCTCCTTCTCTCGTTACCTGAGGGTTGCCCTTATTTGCTTCGGGCGCAAAAAAACATATTCCTCCATATCTAAAATCTGTTTTTTGAAATACATAACAATAAAACATAAAAAATTGCCATAAAACCTCCGTTTAACATAAACCGAATGTAATAGGGCCTGGGCTCGCTGCCAGTAAACGTTCTTATAATGATACAGTTACAACAATGAATACCGCTGCAACGTATCATGAGAATAATGAGAATATCTAATATTTAGCGATCATATGAAATGCATGTTAATTTCAAGCAATTATTCAGAACCCATGTTCAATCTCCCATTTACGGTCGTCGATATTTTCAGAAATAATTTGTATTGTAAAATACTAGCGCGATATTCTCGTCGCTTGTTTACAAAACAACTGCTTCCATGTCGGCTGAATTATATTCAGTTATTCACCTTTTTACAACAGAAAATATTGACTAAAAGCACTACAAGGAAACGAATACAATTATCGTTTTAAATTTTATATCTACACAGAACTGTGTGATGGCGTAAGCGAATCCAAACTATTTCATCCTTATTCTACTAAAATCAAATTAAAAATCATAATCATCACCCTTAATCCACAAAAAAAGGGTTAAAACATTAAAAAAACTTCTGATAAAATCACATGCTGCATTTGAAAACATTTTATATTCTCGTGTATAAAGTATAATTAAAATTGATTATTAACGGAATTGGGAAACTAAACTATGTTGAACTCGGTCATTTTTGTATCCAGTAGTTAGAAAGAAATGCATGTATATAATAAATTAAATATTTTACATAAATATTAAATAAAACTAAATATGTACTCACGGGTTTCATAGACCAAAAATTGTATCAATATAATAACAACAGTTTTAAAACTTGTTTGTTGTGCACAGATGCTTGGAGGCTGACGCGAAAGGAGCAATCTACTTGACGACTAAAAATGGGACATTTCCCATAGCACTTACATCCCTGAATTCCCGTGACGGCAACGCAGCGCAAGACGTTCCGAAGATTTTATTAACAACCACTAAAAATGACACAAGCCTTCACTGGAGTGACGTATCGGATGATTTTTTAATCACTAATTATTTAAACGAAACACATGGTTACAAAAACTTACATGTGTCGAAGAAAAATAATTATAAAAGAAGCATTAACGATGCTGTGTCCAAGAATATCACTTTGGTATTAGAAAACTTATTAAAGAACTATGAAAATTCACAGCTACCAACGCATGGAAAGGGTAAGGTTAATTTAATATGTATTTGAATAAATATGAAACTTGTCGTGTTCATTAATACTATTTCCACGTTAAAACCCGTGGACCGTGGAAGGACCACGCTCTCACAGAATACCGGTGGAAAATAGCAGCTTTACTGCTGTGTTACGCATGGTAAATGTAGAGATCCGGAGACTCTTTTTTACTGGATACGAGGCATTCCATCTTAGTCCTCGGGGGTGACAACACATCTGCGTTTTGCCACAGCATCCACTTACCATCAGGTGGACTGTGTGCTCGTTTGTCGCCGTCATTTTATTTAATACTCGTAAAATACAGACACTGCAGATACGAGTAAGGTCGAGTATTACCTAGTAACACCTAGATACGAATAAATAATTGATTATAAAAAGGTAAATACATAATATAAAGTTCGAGAAATAAGGTAAATTTTTCATAATTTGTCGCCTACAATACAATGAAACAATAGATATTTTTATAAGTAATGTCATCAGTCATATGAAGATTCTGTTATTCTGTTCATAAACTTCTACATCTATCCTCAATTAAGCATCATTATAAAAAAGATTCAATATTACCCATGGGGCCTAAGATGTAATGCCTCGATGCCAGTAAAAAGGATTTTCAGTTCTTGTCACTCACAATACGAAACACCCAAGTAGTATGCTCCTATTTACGCTGGTATTCTAAGAGAGTGTAGTCCTTTCTCGGTCGAGCTGAGCTATTCATGCGTACCATAATACTACCGCAGCGTGGGTAAAAATTCCCAGAAAAAAAATTTGTAAATAGTACTTTTATGATCGGAAAATTTTTATCCTCAACTTGTCTTTGATGTCATAATCCATTACTCCGCAATACTACAAATACTTATACTCCATAGGCAATCATTTTGATATTAATACTACATAGCCAATATAAGTATTTTATATAAGCACAAAACTCGTCAAACCACACCAAAGCAAAACACACATACATTTCAAAGAAACATAAAGGAATTGTTTATTCGAAAATACTTTATTCAAATTAAGAAACGAATCCACGGTAAATTGAAAAAATCTGCATGTTCAAGATGAATCGAAGGCGTGCATATTCTACTAATCCGCAATGGAATATTGCGATCAACTGCACTCGGAATGCTCAATGTAAAGGGACTACTCATGGATTCTAAATTGTTTTATTAATTGCTATTACCACACTCCAAGTATTTAACAATTTCTTCACAAGAGAAGAATGTTGGTATTGCACTTTTCTCTGTCTTTGTGAGTCTGGCAAGGCAGTGTTGGAGCTGAGCGGGGGGGGGGGGGGATACTGTTACGATTCACCGCTATCCTAAAACAAACTCGGTGGTGGTATCCTAAAACAAAATCTTGATCCACATGGTGTCAAGGAGGCTTGTAGTTCCATGTTCTTAGTCCCTATCTTAATGGCTTCCACGAACGGATTTGGAGGGTTGTGTTACAAGGGTGGAGATGTAGGGCGTGTAGAGAATACTATGTGATCAGGCTCGCATCCCTAGGCGAGGCCCCCGATAAATTGTGTTATTTTAACTAGCGGTTATATGCGAAACAGTTTCCATGACCCCTCTGATATGCATTGAAGGTAGAACACCGTTGGGTTTTAATCAGTTCGTGTCCTCCGATATAACCCCTCTTAAAAGACTTCATAATCGCTTAAACCTAATATGACATTTTTGCTTTGCAGGGTACCCCACAGTTGTACAAACAAATATATTAATAAGGAGTATGGGACCCGTGTCAGAACTCGACATGGTCAGTACTAATATGTTTTTACCCTTTTCATAATTAAATTAGGAATGTAATAGTCTCAAACAATACTATGAAGAATACATAATATTTCTGGCAAATCTAAATCTTCATCAAATGTATTTCGGTACGGATCCAGAAAAATTTTCAACTTTACGCTTGCAAAAATAATTCAATGATATTCCAGTATTTTGTATATTTTGCCTGCAGAAATATTTAACCTTAACTATTCCAGATATTTTGCCTGTGAAAATATTTAACCTTCCAAAGTTTATTCTTCATTTCAAAAACAAAAATAACATAATAACTGTTTCTTTTAACCAATACTTATGGGAATTATGACAGATTTTTCGATGAACCTTCTTAATTAGATTCGTGATTTTACAAGATATTAAGAGTAACAATCAATTCGAACTATTAATTTAAAACTCAATTAATGTAAATCTCAGCTTCCAATCAACCTTTAAGTGAAAACTCAAGTAATAAAAAGATGCAACGAAGCATTTAGATTTCTCATAAGCACACACAAGTTTAAAAAAATATTTCTATATCAACCAATATTTAGTATGACCTTTCCTATACGAGATGTAAGATTGTATGAGAAATACGCTCTTACAACTTACATATTAATAAGCCAGGGCTCACCGAAATAGTAAAGAAATGATCAAATAAATATCTCTTTCTTTCTTTTCTTTCTAAATGAAGTGCCATAACTTACCTATTTCTTTTAGAAGTCAGAGTTATAACATACTTTTTGCCCCACAGGATTATTCAATGGACTGTTACTTTAGGCAGTATTGGCGTGACACGCGCCTGTCGTTTCTCGGACCGATTCGATCTCTATCTCTGTCCATCAAAATGCTGGAAAGGATATGGCGACCCGACACGTACTTCTACAATGGAAAGCACTCATACGTGCACACTATTACCGTCCCCAACAAGCTTTTAAGGATCAGCCAACATGGTGACATACTGTATTCTATGAGGTAAAAAATAAACTAATAACATTAAATATAAAACTGTATATAATATTCATTTAAAATATTTTTAAAGTAATTTTATTCTCTGCCAATCTAAGAATATTTTTTTCCAGTACGGCGCATGATAACACACATTAGGCATATTCCGGCACATTTATTGAAACTTAAAGTCTGTGTCCAAATTGACTTTATAATAAAAAAAATACGACGCTCTTTAAGTATAACATGGCGTATACATATTATAATTACGCGCTAAAAGTATAAGATATCAGACCGCTACATTCAGGCTCTTTATTTTTTACAAATAATATTTCTTGGCAAAGTAATGGCTAATCAGAAAAAAAAGTCCAATTAAATTAAAATAGAGTGACGATAATTAATTTTATAGACGTTAAACGAAATAGCGTCCCAGTTCTAATTGGGCATAATATACAAAATGAAAAATACGGTACTCATATTACTCGAGCGACTCATTGGCCGCAAACGGCAGTAAATTTTATTTGAGTTTGACGAATCAATTACGAAAAATTAAAAGAAATAAGAGTAAAGATGCTTCAGACCAGTATAATACTAGATAAGTACAAAGATGTACTCATCCGGGTAGCATATTTTTCCCTGTGACTAACTGCTAGAGATTTTGGTACATTTACAGGCTTTAATTTTTCTTCTATTTACTCTTGGTCCTTTTGAAGTTTTCTTAACTACACTGACATACAAAAAAACATTCTTGTTACAAATTTTTGATCAGCAAGACGTTAATTCTGAATCCACATTATCTTAAAATCCTTAAAAATCTGTGGCAACAATGGAAAAAAATGCTGGCAACAAGTGTCCTCAAATCTTGAAAGTTTCCGTAGCCCTCTTTATTCAAACCAGAGGAAACTTCTGGCCAAGATCTGGATGACTTTGACCCTGAAGGTGATACTATAATCCGAACAGGATGTAAATTTTTGGTGTTCGGGTTATCGAGGGTCTACTGTGTATTCAAAAAGCCACTGACCGTAAAAATAACAACGTTTTATTTTTTACCTAACGAAACCTAACTGGAAAAATAGAATTAAAAAAGGTGTTCAAAAATCAGAATTTCAATATAATAAATTTGTTAATCCCAGATTCACATTTAAGCCTCATGTATTCAATACGATTTCTAATTGCATTGCTTTAGTTAGTTTTGAAATTACTATTTTAATAACTTTTTGACACGGAGATTAAATAGGACAAAAACTTCATAATAATTTAATCCCGTTATTATTAATGATTCCAAATTATTAATCATAATAATAAAAAATTATTGGCTTTTTATTTATCCACGGTATTTTAACGTGGTCCCTATAACGGTTATATAGCGAGTAGACATTAGGCACTGAGTTCCACAGAATGGTACAAAGATAAACGCATTTCGACTAAGACGAAAAAATGATTGTCTTAAGAAAACAAAATTTTAATTTGCTACTTATATTAGCGGATCGTTTAGTTAGACAATTAGATTTTGCTACCCCTTACTACACCCGCGGGCTGATACGAAGGAGTAAATTATCTTACACCGTCACTACACCCCGCTATGTTTTAGTATTATGAAATTGTTAATTATATTATACATTATATAATATAACTTCGAAATAAAAAGAATAATCCCGCAACAAAATATTAATAGTAGTGCTTTTAATACTATTAGCTTTTATCGCTAAGCTTGAAATGCTTGTGCTAGGAATGGATCGCGACAATAGTCGAATAACGGAATGGAACCCACGACTTTTGAATATCATAATCCTTAATGATTAGGCTATTGTCGCTTCAAATTATTTTTTTTATTCATCGCTAACTGAAAAAGCAGCTGCTATTGCAAAATTGTTCAATGGTCTTTCATAGATAAATGTCATTGAATTTGTAATCGATTTAGGTAGGATTGATCGTCAATTGATGCTTTAGGGAACAAAGGCTTTAAATGTAATCCCTTTAAACTCATTTTGTTGTCGCTTAAATAGACGATTTCATTTAATATAAACATAATTTACAGATTAACAATTAAAGCGAAATGTCCGATGGAGTTGCGTAATTTTCCAATGGACAGACAGTCTTGTCCCCTTATTCTTGGAAGTTGTAAGTATTTACGCCTACTTATGTATTTACAAAAGGGTCAAACGTAAAAATAATAATAATTTAAAAGTATTGTTTAAAATATTTAAGAAACATTGTTAATTTTAATAGTTTTACCTCAAAGATACGAATTATGGGTACTTTGGGTATAATAGTTTTCCCCTTCTATCTTTAGATATATTACCTTCTTTAGTATGTATGACAGTTAACCTAAAACTACCTTAAATCATATCATTTTTATTTACTATCGAATACAGGAAGGAAGACGAATCGGTGTTCATTTCTATGCACGAACGATTATGGCGTTCCTGTTGATATTTACAACGATTAGAAGCGCGTAATATTTTCATTAACATTAGTAATTAAAACCGAAATTTTTAATTAAAATAATAGAAAAAATTATAAGTATCAATATGCTTATAATTTTATCTTTGTGTTGTTTAAAAACTAGGAAAATATTAGGTCCTTATATATGAATTGGAGTTTTATATGGAAAAAGCAAAATAAAAAGTTATGAAATTATATATTTAATCAATCAAAGAAAAAAAATACCATTGTTACTATGCTTTTTTGCCATTTTATAGGTAGTTCATTAAGAGCGAGATTCAATAAAAATCTTTGAAAGCGGTTTTGTCCCTTTTTCCCTATTGAATTGTATTCCTTGCAATTATCCAAATTGTCGAAAAAGTGGTAACCTATTGGAGTAATGTCTGGGGATTGTGCTGAGTGTCGGAGACATTCCAACGCAGCTCCTCTTATTTAGCCACCGTCTGTTGTGCAGCGTGTGGTCTAGCGTTGTCCTAAAGCAGCAATGGGCAAAAGCAAAGGACCAGTCTCAGTTGATTAACGACTAGATATTGGGTGCGTTTGGCAGAAAAAAGCGCTAGCAAGCGCTTGTAAGCAAAATGGCGATCGTAAGCGGTAAGCGCTGTCAAATCGTAAGTAGCTATTTTCCTCCAGGACACGATGTTAGTTTTAACCGGGGAACCTAACCTTATTTAAATATATGTTTGTATTCATATTAAAAACTTACCAATCATGAATTTTTAATAACATGTATATGTCTATTCATGTCATTATATTACTTAAAACTAATATTGCACAAAACAACTTATAAACTCTACTTCAAAACAAACAAATTAAATAAGCAAAATGGCGGATTGTGTCAGTGCTACTGAAGTAGCAATCGTGTCGTGGCCGAAAACTATGTAAGCGCTTGTAAGCGCTTGCTAGCGCTTTTTTCTGCCGAACGCACCCATTCTATCATATTTTGCAATTGTTGACAATACAGATCTGCCGCAATTGTCTAGCTAGATCTTAGGATGCTGTAGTGGATGACACCGGCACTAATCCACCATACACTTACCAGTACCTTTTTCTGAGTAAACTTTTGCTTGGGGCACGATTTGGCGGGTTTTCCTGGGTTCAACCAATGTGTTAAGTATTTTCGACTATCATACAGGATCCGTTTTTTATCACAGATAACGATTACGATTTAAAATCCCCTCGTTATTGTGACGGTTGAGAAATATAAACGCAGCACTCGATGCGATTTTGTTGGTGTGCTTCATAGAACTCATGCGGTACCCATTTTTCAAGCTTTTTCACTATCCAATTTGTTTCAAGTGAGTTAAAATTGTTTTATCACTCACACCGAAGACTGCCCCTTACTCTGAAGTGATTTGCGATGGATCCGCTTCCACGATCACTTTTATTTCTTCAGTGTCAACTACGGTCTTGAGGGATATGATCTGTAGGTCAAAATTTCCAGAACGAAAACGTTAGAACCAAAAACGTACCGTGTTTTCCTATACAATAGCTTCACTTAAACGTCATTAATCCTTCGAGCTGTTTCTGCAGCGCCGGTGCCACTCGTATTAGTAAATAACGCGATATTTTAATTACTCCATGTTATCAACATAACGATGTCAATGAAAAAACTGATGGCGCGAAAACAAATGAATCACTAAGTTCGAAACACAAATCTACAAGCCAAAATTTGAAATAAATTGGAATTAGAAATTCATAACCAAACGCCAGATATTTGAGATCGAAGTAGCCAGTTCGACAAAACGCCAATTTTATATGTAAGGATCTAATACTCTTTATCTATGATAATATTTGGCAACATATTGACATTATTGTATTGATTGAATGATACAATTTTAATTTATTTATTAATGAGCTTAATCACAATGTGAATATGTCGCTCCGTTAATTCATCACCAGAAACTATTACGTTAGATATACTTAAATTTATTACATTATAAAGTTCTCAAATCCGTAATTAATTACAAAAAGTAGAAGAAGTTACGTATTTAGTTACAAAAAATAAAATAAAAAGTTCCCAGATCAATCACATTGAGAAGTGAGTGATCGATCCGTGAACATCACCTCGTGAAGTTTGAAAATTCATTGTTTTGTGTTTCATGAACATTGACACCTCTTTCATCTCTTTTGTTATTTCTCAAATAGATATACAATCAATACGCTATCCATGAATTCGTTTTAATAACATAACTTAAGTTTTATTATTTTTTAGACGCATACTCTAACCAGCAGTTGGTATACCAATGGCAGAATTCGCAGAGCGTAAATTTTGTGCCCGGCATGACGCTCTCACAGTTCGACCTCATTAGTTTTCCATATCGGAACTTCACCTTCACAAGAAGAGAAGGTAAGAAATATTATAAGTATTTAATAGAAATAGTCAAACGCCTCATTAACTAACGTCCTATTTTTATCAAAATTAATTATCGTTGTAGGATTTCCTTATATCGTAATTATTAATTTTCTGGGAAGGTCGACACAAATAAAAACGATGACTTTCTTTATTACAATGCCTATACAAATAGAAAGTACTTTGCAGTAACATTATTTTATTATTATGGTTGCGATATGAAGGATTTAGTCTTGGTCCCCTTTCACTTGGGGTCTCTCTTTTAACTTTTGGGGCTTGGCGTCTCTCCTTTTTTTGTGGGGGCAGTTGGATTTAGTCGGGAACCTTTCTATACTGCTGGTTTTTCACTTTTTCTTGAGTTATATGAAAAAAAGGTTATTCATTATAAGCCGATTTCTTCAATTCAATCATTCCACGCCTATAGCCTATTATTATGATTTGTTACGGTTATGAGGTTATTCTTCGTATAGCAATATAGCAATACCAAAGAGAGAAATTATTTAAAATAACGATTAAACAAAGAAGACTTAACGACAAAATAAACAATGGTATTATTGTGAGACCTAAAGGTGTTGAAACCCAAGCATTATAATACAATAAATCAAATACTTTCTTAAAAACACATTGGTTTTATTTCATAAACATTCAAATTTCACTTTTGAGGAAAGAAGTGGTAAATATAAACAACATCGTGAATGTAGTTAATTAAATACGCACTATTAAGGATAATAAAAAAACTACTGGTCGGATCTAGATGAAATTTATATGTCACTAAGAGATTTCAAATGAGAAAAGAATCATCAAAAACGGTTCACCTAGAAAAAAGTTTTGAGGTAACACACATAAAAACAATACAGTCCAATTGTGAACCTCCTCCTTTTTTGAAGTCGGTTGTAAACTAGTTTAAACTATGCTAGTTTAAACTAACAAATTTGCAAAGAAATAAGTATATCTGAGTTATATTTCTAGGAAACTCAAGTTATAAATAAGTATTTTGTAAAAACTGGTTTCAACTAGGAGAGACGCGTTTTAAAAAAGTACTAATTTTCACTGTGGCATATATGTATGGCATGGTATATTGCAACACGGCATTAGAAAATCACACAATTACCAATTTTTCTAGTCAGGTCGAGAGAGAGAGATGTGTTTTAAACTAATCTTTTAAATTAAATTCTGCAGTCGATTGGACGCATTCTATAAGGCTTTTATTCAGCAGTAAGAACACTGTCAAAGATTTTTAAAGACTAAGATTTATTAGTATAGTTAGACATTGTAATATGTTCACAAAAAATACCCTTAAATTATATATAAAAATGTTAATTATTCCCATTTTACGATGGCGAAGATTTGTTTACTATTAAACACTAGCGTAAATCAAAATTTGCGTCTGAATAAATTGGGAAGCACATTAGACGGCATGTATGTAAGCGGATATCGCTCGCTGGCGCTCTAACGTGATTAGAAGAGGAAAGCTGTTTTGAGAGGTTTTTACTCGAGTGTTTTTACCCTGATGCTAATAACTTAGCATATTTTTAATCCTGCAAGTATGCAAATGTATGTATAAAATTTAAAAAAATCCGTGTAGTTACTTTAGGGAATTCCATCATAAATCCCATTGGTGTCTCAAACGACGGCCAAAAATTTACTCCTAATAGTGGTATAACCATGCTGCAGTTAATAGTAGTTAGTTAATATTTAGGTTGCAGTACGAATGCGTAAATATAGGTATGGTGAGTGGCGAAAACATAAGGCCCTTTTTTATGATTACGAGGCATTCCATCTTGGTAAACAAAATGCACCTGCTCTTAGATTCTTCATCGAAAATAGATCCATGGGCCACAGATTACCATTAGGTTAACTGTGAACTCATTTTGGTAAAAGTCGCATTTACAATATGTAACAAAATCGGTATTCGAACGTATAGAAATTACTTTACTTCAGAAAACACAAAAAAATCGAAAAAAGTTTACTTCAGAAAACTCAAATATCTCGAAAAAAATTAATTCAATATTAAAAAAAAACTTTTATTTGCTAATTGTATGTGGGTTTCTTAACTCTTACTGACACACGCATCTGTAAAGCGGGGTCTTTGACAATAGTCTCACTCCCCCGGTAATGCAGAGATAATAAAAATATCACATACAACTTGTAAATAAATATTTGATTTCTATACGTTTGAATACTGATTCTGATAACGCACTTGCACTAACAATTTTTGCTACGTGTTGTATAAAAATACCCAGAAGACCTTGTTGGCCCCGATAGATTGGCGATTAAATAAACGAAAACTTTATCATTATCGCGCGGATTAGTAGCAAACCACTTTTGTTTACCTTACAGTCACACAAATACGAAAGCTGTGTAAAGTTTCCCCTCATGTTCATAAGATTGATGGCTTCCTTAAACTTTTTACTTTCCATTTCTGCCAGAGAGTTAACTAACTCCTTCTACTACTACATATATTATATTGTTTCAATTATTATATTACTGGTATAGTTGTAGCACGAATGGGTCGGCTCGACCGAGGAAGGACCACGCTCTCACATAATACCAGCGTAAAATAGCAGCTCAACGCTGCTGTGTTTTGTATGGTGAGTGTAGAGAACCGGAGACCCATTTTACTAGAAACGAGGCATGACATCGTAGTCCTCACGGGTGATAGCGCATCTGCCTTTTGATGTCTATGGGCCACAGCAACCACTTAAGACTGTGACTGAAGAACACAAAAACTCTCCGATAACACTCTTAATCTCGTTGCTGTTTAACGGGATATGAAGCTGCAGTCGTCCGCAGATTTGACAGCGTCAGCAAAACTGAACAGACGGATCTCCAAATGCATGCGGCAGGACTTCTGCATCTTTAATACTGCTCGTATTGAAGGAGCGATCAAGCGGAACCAGGACTCCAAATACTTTGCCAGAGATCTGTCTGCCAGAAAAAGCCAACTGTCAGAGCTGAAGACTAATTGTGGCTATTTCGTTTTCGCGTCTGTCTGCTCATTTGTCTGTCTGTGGACTGTGTGCTCGTTTGTCACACTTATCTTATAAAAAAATTAAATACCTACTTATATTTATTTATTATAAGTTCGTGTAGTGGCGGTGTAAGAATATCCACTACCCTGTATCGTCCCCAGGGCGTCGTAAGAGACGTGACACACACGACGCGACAGAGAGAAATTTAAACACGAGCCGTGCAGGAATATCTTCCTGATAACAACTCAAAATAATAAAAATCTGCGGTCGTCGAACTGCTTGCCAAACGTGGCAACTATGGCAAAATCCCCCCACGAGGCAATCTATGAGGGAGGCCTTTGTTCAGCTGTGGACTTTTGTAGACTATAATGGGAAAGAATAAAATTTCGTATTTATGTCAAACATTGAAGTAATATGTACTTACGTACTAGAATAGTTATCTCAAACAAAAAATGTGCGCTACTCTGTGTTCGCGCGGTTGTTTTTTTATCATAGTATAAACATAGGTAGAATGACCCGTAGATAAATTGTATTGTTAAATAGGTAAATTATATCGAGAACAATATTATTTATTTTGTATATTATATTTGCTTATTTAATATAACATTACATAATATTATATCACAATTACATTTTAATGATATTTTATCTGAATATTTTAAAAGGTATTTAAGTCAAATATAAAAAAACATACTAAATGTATGTTTAACAAAACTTATTAACATAACAATTAAATTATAAATATTTAAATTAGAATAAAAGTCGTTCATAAATGCTGGGCACGCGAGAGTTAAAAAATGGACGAATTTATACCACTTTGACTTTGATGTGGAAACCTAAAAATAAAATAAAAGAATAATAAGCAGTTTAAAACATAAAAAATTGTGCCAAATTATAATAACTTACATATGTTTCTACAAAAAGATATGTATAATAATATATTCGTCCTGTACTTAAGTACCCACAGAAATGTCGCATCTCAACATACATATTATTCATTTCATAATCTATATTCCATGACACAAGATGGCGTCTTAGGAATAATTTATATTTGTTTTATTATTAATACATAATAGGTTTTTTTTGATTAAGTATCTTATTAACCGATGAAAAGTAATTCCTTGGTTTTTATTGACATTTCTTGAATTATTTGTGCAATATCTAAGTACACACGACGGCATATTTTTATCAAAATTTATTTTTTTAAATCAACACAACACGTGACAACTCTATAAGCGCCTAGCGAGTGACTGATTAAAGTGCGGTGTATGCACCGCAGTTAGTGGAACAGAGTAGCCGAATGCAGTGTCGTCTCTAGTACGTAGTACATAATAGCTCAATGATGTCAAACGTCTTTTTTTAATCTACAATATTATATGTCTTGGATGCAGGTGGCTCAGGACCGTGTGTTTTGTGGCATTCCTTGGGGGAGGCCTATGTTCAGCAGTGGACTTGTGAAGGGCTGTAATGATGTTGATGATGTATATAAGTAAAAATATTAGCATATTTCTTCTTTCTTCTTCGTAGGTTTACGAGATTTTCGCCTACTTCTTTAGATACTTTCTACGATGTTACGTATTTGACACAATTACTAAAAGCTTTCAATGGATGCTCTTAGATGTACATGTTACATTCTCGTTTTTTATCTAAATTGCCTACCGAAATAAACCTTACATTTGATTTCCAATACAAAATATGATTTCATTTCCTCTCAGACGCAAATGTCTGGCTTGTGTACAGCGATCCTAGACTACTTACGGCGACACGAATCGGCTTTTACGCTTCACGAATTTTTATATTAACCGAAATGGCTTGAAAATGCTGATATTAAATTTATATTTTTAATAAAATTAGTATTTATTGCATAGTATCTAGGATAAGTATAATTTTTGTTAATTATTTTGCCAAATCATTCTGCAAATCATCCCGATAATGGCCACCGGTCTGACAATTTTTGATACAGCACGAACAATTATTTAATGGTATTGTAATTAAGTATGTGGCCGTGAAAGGAAAAGGGGAAATCTCCCGCCGGGCAAGGTGTTCTGCCCGGGGAGCGGCCAACACTCCATGTGATAGTTCGGAGATGTTCTATATATTATGCTGTTTATGATTCGGAATGTTGATAGCGTGATTTAAGCTTCGGTGTGTTTCGCTTGCGGCGCGACGACAGCGCCGCCACAAGTATATCAGTTACTTACTCATTATTAGATTATTTGATTAGTATTTAAACGAAATAGTTATTTCATTTTAAGTAGATGTCGCTAATCAATTTACAGCCTATATATGTCCCACTGCTGGGCACAGGCCTCCTTTCATTTCTGATTCCGGTTGATTTCGGTTTTGGAGATGTGGGTACAATGACATTTTAATTATAATGAAAGCTAATGCAATCAAACGTAGTGGCGGCTTAAGAGAATTCTTATATTATCATCTCGTGTAGGTATGTCGTAAGTGGCAACTGAAGGAAAAAAACAGCACGGAACAACAAAATCTATGGGAATACCTATATTCGGAAGTGGTTACTTGGACGACGCTGTAATTCTAAATCTAATCTTATGAAGTTCCGTGACAGAAACCTTACCATTTATACGTGGTAGAGCCACACTGCAGCTATATTGTGGTTGTGGCACGAATGGCTCGGCTCGTCCGGGGCAGAATACTAGCGTAAAATAGCAGCTTAATACTGCTGTGTTTCATATGGTGAGTATAGAGATCCGGAGACCCTTTTTACTGGAAACGAGGCATTCCATCGTAGTCCTCAGGGGTAACAACGCATCTGCGTTTTGGTTCTCAATCGAGGATAAATGTAGATGTCTTTGGGCCACAGCATCTACTTATCATCAGTCTATATAAAGAAACTTTAAATGCACAAAATTTATCTAATGGTGAATTCGAACCAACAACTTTTCTAATTCCAAGAAATGGCACATAACACGGTCCTGACCTGCTTGCATCTATCGACTTCCTGCATGTCTTACTAAGTCGACACTATCTATTAAAGGGGCTGGCCACTTTCCTCTTATCGGTACGAGACTACTCTTTGAGCCAACGAGAAAGCTTAATACTTCCTTTCCCTTTATCAGTTTAATTAAAATGGGTATTTACATAGAATAATCATTAATTTACATATTTACACAAATTCATTTTATTTCTAAAGGCATAACATTCTTTTACTTAGCACTCTTTTTTTCATAACTGATTGTAATTTTTGTTAAGAATGTGTTACAATATACCGCTTACGTTCACGTTCATGAATAGTAATAACTTATTCGACTTCCTTTCACAGGTGATTTCTCTGTGCTCCAAGTGTCGTTCAATCTTCAGCGCCATACAGGCTATTTCCTCATCCAAGTATACGTGCCCTGCATCCTCATTGTAGTACTCTCTTGGGTTTCGTTCTGGATTCATCGCGAGGTATGTCTTCTTTAAGTAATATTTACAGTTAAGTTTTGTTTTCTGGCAAGAATATTAGAAACTGTGTATTACACTTTACATTATACAGGGTTGTTTCGCAATAACCGGCCCGATTTGCAGAAAAGGTTCAGAATAAGTAATACAGTCAAATGGTGAAGAAAAATTAATTAAAAAATTTCTGTCCTTTTTATCTTTTAAATTCAAAGTGGGTTCGTAATGGTCGATCGGTAGGCAAAAACGTTGTGGCCCATAAATCACATTCAATGTGTCCTATGGACCTATATTGTCTGAAAATAAAAAGATTTGAATGTGGGATAATTTGAAATAAAAGTAGAAGCCTTATTTACTCGTATTTTCAAAAACTGCCATAACGGTCTATCATTGGGTGCGTTTGGCAGAAAAAAGCGCTAGCAAGCGCTTACAAGCGCTGAAATAGTTTTCGGCCGAGACACGATTACTACTTCAGTAGCGCTGACACAATCCGGAAAAATGGCGGATTGTGTCAGCGCTACTGAAGTAGCAATCTATTAGCAAATTATTTAATTTTTTTTTTGAAGTAGAGTTGAGTTTTTTTTGTGCAATATTAGTTTTAAGTAATATAATGACATGAATAGACATATACATGTTATTAAAAATTCATGATTGGTAAGTTTTTAATATAAATACTTTACAAACATATATGGTGGAGCCACGTGTTTAAGGCTGCCGAAGTCTAGTTCCCCGGTCGAACCTTAAACCTATTACGCGAGATATTAATCTAAGTGGACTGTATCTACTAATGCTTCTACACTTGTATATGCGGTACAATGCACTCGCTCTTCCCAAAAAAACGAACTATTATTTGCCAAATCGATGAAAGGAATCCTGCTTGATTAGGAAAACACAAAATTGGAGCGGGTTAAAACAACTATATCAAGCAGGAAAATACTATTAGGAAAATGTTGACTCACCGGGATGTTTCTTCTATGCGGTCGAGCACTATAACTGCGACTTCTGGAACTTCTTCTGGAACACTCCGGAGAGAAGCGGTGCGCGACTATATCTCACACGAGGTGAGGCGGGTTCTCTGGAGCTCGATTGCTTCCAGGCTAAAGCGGTTTCTACTAGTGATGTGGTTCTAACGACGAGCGCGGCGGGAAGAGGCCACGCGTCGGTCGCGCGTGTCTTATATATCCTCGGTTCCGATGATTACGTGATGTTCTAGAATCATCTTCTTTCCCCTCCCCCCCCACCCCCCCCATGTGTCGATAGGAGGGTACGAATGATATCGTTTTGGAAAGGGATAACCGATTTGGCAGCCTACCGTCAAATAAAATAAATACGAATGGTTTTCCGCGCAACCATCTCCCCCCGCCCTTGAAGGATCTCCTTCAAAAATAACTAAAACAACTAGAGCTAAGATCAACTAACAAATGACTAACTAACGCTAAGATTACCTAAATTCAACTACAATTTTAATCTAGATAGCTAATTTAAATTATGGAAGAGGCAAGGGGCACAAACGGACAACAGGACGCAGGTAAGACCCAACCGTGGTCTTAACGCGAGCTATCCTAATTACTCCGTCGGAACCGGGAAAGACCTCTTCGACAATTCCTAACGGCCAATGGAGAGGTGGCGTGTTCTCCTTAGTGAGCACAACTACAGTCCCTACAGCTAAAGGCTCAGTCGCTGTGTTCCATTTTTGCCGAGACTGCAAAGTATGCAAGTATTCCATCCTCCATCGTTTCCAAAACGATTGCACTAACCGGTCTAATAATTTGTGGCGTGCGGAAATGCTAAGTCTGTTCTCATCCATATCTGCGGCGGGCAAATACTTTAAAGGCGTTAAATTCAAAAAATGTGCTGGAGTTAGAGCCAGCGGTTCCGAGGGGTCACTAGACAACGTCCGACAAAGTGGGCGGCTATTCATTACGCATTCAATTTGAGCGAGCACCGTACTTAGCTCTTCGAAGGACAAAATTTGATCTCCTATTACTCGGTATAAGTGACTCTTTAAACTCTTAATATTAGTCTCCCAATTGCCCCCAAAATGACTCGCGGCTGGGACGTTCAGAGACCACTCAATGCGGTTCTCGGCTAGAATGTGAGCGAACTCCGAATTATAATACTTGCTAGCTAAGAGCTCATGTAGTTCCGATAGAATACGTTTTGCACCGACGTAGTTCGTACCGTTATCCGAATATAATTTACTTACAGGGCCTCTACGGGATAGAAATCTTTTAAATGCACCCATAAAGCCTGCTGTGCTTAGATCACCAACGAGTTCTATATGCACCGCTCGAGTAGTTAGACATACGAAAATGCAGACGTAAGCCTTTGTGGATCTTATACCACGCCCGCGAGTGAGCGTGACCTTAAACGGACCAGCGAAATCCGACCCGGTGTGCGTGAAGGGCTTTACCGATTGTATTACTCTACAAGATCCAAGTTCCGCCATTTCCGGAAATGACGGCTTGGGGCGTGCCCGAAAGCAAGCTATACATCTGTGCACCCGATTGCGTATTAAACTACGTGCAGAAAGAATCCAATAATTCTGACGCAAAATCGACATCAACAAGTCGGGGCCAGCGTGCGTGTTCAATTTATGATGGTAATCGACTAATAAGTTCATGATATGGTCTTTACGCGGTAAAACTATAGGGTGCCGTTGGTCGAAACTCAACTGCGAGTTGGACAAGCGTCCACCTACCCTTACAATCCCATCCTGTAAAAATGGCTTAAGGCGTTGAAAGGCGCGACCACAAGCTCTATTCGATTGTAATCTTGTAATTTCTTCAGAGAAGTGCGCACGTTGAAGTTCACGTAATACTAGCGACTCGGCATAGTTGTAATCGGAGGCTAAGACATACGAACGTCGCGGTAAAAGCTTCGCGAATCGACAAACGTAAATTACGCTACGCAATAATTTCGACCAAGAGGACAAGCGGTTCGCCAAAGCAATGATTGGAGAAACCTCGCTCGAAACGTTCGCCACTAGAGCGTGTCTCTTCTCTTCCGGCGGTTGTGACACTGACGAAGGTTCGAAATCGGTTATCGGCCATTGTGAGGGATCCAAGTGAACCCAAGAAGGTCCACGGAACCAAAGCGGGTGGTCCATAATTTGCATCGGGGTGAGTCCACGGGATAGACAATCGGCAGGGTTTTCCGTACCGGACACGTGATAAAAGTTCCGCGTTTCCAACTCGTCTTGGATCTTGGCCACTTGGTTCGCGACAAACGTATCCCAACGGTGGGGTGAAGAATGAACCCAGCATAAGGCGACGGTGGAGTCGGAAAAGGCAAATATCCTTTCTATGTGAACTCTATCCCTACATGCGCTGATAACTGCGGTAATAAGCTTGGTGAGTACTAATATTGCGCAAAGCTCTAAGCGCGCCAGAGAGACAACCTTACGGGGGGAGACTCTCGACTTAGAACTAATGAGGCTAATCGAATTTCTACCATTATTCTGAACGTGGAAATATACAACGCCCCCCGTAAGCCTTCTCGCTGGCGTCTGCAAACCCAACGACCGTTATGACGCTATTTCTATCTACGTTTATATGACGCGGTATTTTAATTTCTCTTAGTAAAGGAAGTTCCTCTCTAAAGCGCTGCCACAAACGAACAATGCTGTCAGGCGGCGAGTCATCCCAATCGCATTCAAATAACCAAAGTTGTTTAATCAAAAGCTTAGCGTATAATACCACCGGAGCTACGAAACCCATGACGTCCCATAATCTAGCAACGCATGACAGTATTGTGCGCTTTGTGCATTTCTCTACGGGCGGATTTACCTTAAGGCTAAACACGTCGGACTCTGGTGACCAACACAGACCGAGCACCTTGTGTGTATCAGAATCGTCGAATTCCTTTATTGCCGAAAGACGGTGTGATAGTGGGATTGTATCTAAAACCGGACGCGAATTACTAGTCCACTTCACAAGATCGAATTGACCCGATTTCATGAGCCTTATAACCTCGGCGGTGGTTAGGGTGGCCTCCTCCACGCTATCGACCGAGTATACAAAATCATTCATATATAAACCGCTCTCAATTGCCCTCTTAGCTTTAGGGTAAGAGGGACAACATCGTGGGCGAGCTGTTTCACCGTGCGTAACGCATGAAATAGGCTCGACTTTAAACCAAAACAAACGCGGTTAAATTCAAACACCATTAGAGGTTCCTTTGGGTTGAAACGATATAAAATGCGTTGGAATCTACGGTCGCATTCACGGACCCCTATGCAAAGAAAAATTTGGCGAATATCGGCGGATAGTGCTATACTAAACAAACGAAAATTGGCTATTATATTAAATAAACTGCCCTGTAAATTTTGCCCATTATAGAGGATATCGTTAAGCGACAGGTGAGTGCTAGTTTTAGCGCTAGCGTCGAGCACTACACGTAACTTAGATGTAAGTTTGTCCTCCCTAATGACCCCGTGGTGTGGTATGAAATACGACGGTGTGTCTTCGTAGTTATCTAATTTCGAAGCCACGAGTGATATGTAACCTTCTCTTATATATTCGTTAATGACGCCGTCGTAAGCTTCCTTTAACTGGGGTGAAGCGAGCATCCTACGCTCCAAGCTGTAGAAAGGTTTTTCCGCCATTTGACGCGAATCGCCGAGAGATAAAACATCTCCCTTAAAGGGCAGCGCTACACTATATCTACCGTCGCGATCACGAACGGTCGTGCGGACGTAAATTTCCTCGCATAATCTGTCATCTGAGCTAGATATGGGTGGGACGTTCACCTCCTCCATCTCCCAAAATTTGCGGACTAACGACTCGAGCGGTTCGACAGCCATACCACAATTAGAGGTTGCCGAAATACTATCTATGATGGCGGCGGAGCCAATGATAACATAGCCCAATACGGTTTCTAGTGCGTAAGGCGCGGTATGCGAGGAGTTGCCCCTGACCTTATTGTTTAACAAAAGATGAGGGAAAAGCGATGCTCCGATGAGCATGTCTATGTTTCCAGGAACGGCGTAAGTGTCGTCTGCTAGAATC